ACAGAACCTCAGTGACCTACAGAACCTCAGTGACCTACAGAACCTCACTGACCTACAGAACCTCAGTGACCTACAGAACCTCAGTGACCTACAGAACCTCACTGACCTACAGAACCTCACTAACCTACAGAACCTCAATGACCTACAGAACCTCACTGACCTACAGAACCTCAGTGACCTACACAAGGTGAGGTCAGTGAACAAGGCCAGGCTGATTCTGGCAGATCCTGATCATCCACTCCATGGTGAGTTCAGGTTGCTTCCATCTGGACACAGGTCTCTGCTGCCCAGATGTGGAACGAACAGACTGAAAAACTCATTCACCCCTGTAGAGATCAGGCTTCTCAATGAGCAGAGATGAATTCATGTATTATTTTAATGTCTCCATGTCTTGTCTAGTATGGATGTTTTGTGTGCCTACAGACTGTGAAACTAATTGCCCCTTGAGGATAATAAAGTTCTTGAACTCCTAATAAGACCGGTAGAGAAAGTACAGACTAGGAAAATAAGCCCTAATCAGCAGAATGAAAACTTAATAATGTAAATAAATCCTGGATCTGAGGTGGCAGTGGTGTCCGGTGGTTCCTTTTCTCCATTTAAACTACAGTCTACAGTGTTTTCAGCAAGAGATTGGACAAGTTAAATACACCTTTCACTTTCAGTTTTAAAGAGAAAGTTCTAAAACCGGATAGACTGAGAGCCAGTAGTAGTTTAAATATGTGCACTCTGCATTTGTGAGAAACTCTGAGAAAAGAACCACGAGTCCAACAGCAGTAAAGGGACACTTTACTGGAAAAGAGGAAAACAAAAGCCAATGTTTTGACGTATGAATGAAATGTGAAGATTGAGAGAGGAAAAAGAATTAGCAAACTATTTGGGACATTCCCATAGTTCAATAGTTAGTGCGCCATCACACCAAGTGTAAAACTGTCAGAAATCCCAACTTAAACTGTGACTGTGTAGAAGCTCTTAAAGACAATAAATTCCAGGTTAGACATGAAACGTGCTCTGTGATGGACTTGCGACCCGTCCAGGGTGTCCCCCGCCCCTCGCACAGTGATTGCTGGACATGGGCACCGGCGACCCCCATGACCCAGAATGGAAGAAGCGGGTAAAGAAAATGGATTTATGGATGGATATATATAATTTTGATGAATAGTCCAACTTTCTGTGACCTGTTCAAACTTTTTAGAGCTTCAAAAAGGGGCTGCGTTTTTCCACTTGTTTCGTCAAAATCACATTATTTATGAACACGTATTTTGCTTCTTTTTTAAATTTCTTTTGATGTGCTGCTAAGTCAGAGGACACCCTTCTCGATAAAGCTCTGTGCTTTCAAGTATTCTGTTGTCAAGGGTTTTTCTAAATCTGCTGGTGAGCTGTAAATCAAAAATCAGAACAGAAAAGAAAAAAAAATACTGTCTGAATAGCAAGAAGGGTGTTTTAATGTTTATGTTTAGACATCCTAATCAGGAAATAAAATAGTAATTCAATTAAAAGAACACATAGCAGGAAAAAGTTGTACCCACCTCAAAGTTGGTGTTGTTGTCATAAGGGTGTTTGGACTCTCTGACCTGCACAGCCATCCCTGGCTCCTCCATGAACTGACAGGCGGTGAGAGACAGGCTGCTCAGCATGCTGTGGCTGCAGCCCTTCAGCACCCTCTGGAGAATCTATCAACACAACATCATCACGTTAGCAATCAATTTCCCCCCAACGAACCGTGCACCACTCTTCATTCTTTCACCTTCTCCCAGAGCGTCCTCTCCTCCAGCTGCATCAGCATGTCCAGGATGTAAGCCATGTGCGAGGAGCCGTTCAGGTCCAGGGCCTCCTCGTTCATCGACGCTCCCGCGGGCCAGTCGGCCAGAAGCAAAGCCAGCACATGGCGAGCGTACAGCGTGGCGATGGCCTGGTTGACCTTCACCAGGTACTGACGAACTGCCCGGTTGCTGCGGACGTCCAGCTCTTTGTGCAGCAGAGCTGAGCTTTTGGAGCGCCTCTGCTTGGCATAGCTGAGCTGTAGGTCGCTCTCTGAATTGGTGATGAGCTTCTGGGCCACGACGTTGATTTCTTCTGTGGCTTTTTCACAGTGACTGGGTTTAGACTGTTGAATAGAGCAGTGATAAGGACACGTGGAACCTGCCACATCAGAGCCAGTTTGAATCAACGTACCATGCAAGACACCACGATCATGTCAGTGTCCACAGCCTTGGAGTTTCGCTCATCACAGCGAACACGCCTGGAAGGTTGCCATTTCTGAGCAAGCGTTCGGATCGTCTCGTCTGTTTTTATCTCTTCTCCATCAAATCTGAAAATAAGACCATGCGTGTCATAAGCTGGACCGTAACCAAGAATAAACGAGTGAAATGCTCTTGATGCTGACCTCTTCTGCACTTCGAGGAAGAAGGAGTCGGTCCTCTTCATCTGCAGCTCGTACATGGCTCGCAGGATCGGCAGCGGGGCGTTTAAGGCATCGTGGGTGATCTGCATTAAAAAGGTCAAAGGGGTTAAAACAAAAAGAAAAGACTGAATTTGTGCAGCTCGTTACTTTTTAATGTTTGCATTCTGAAAGGTTTCTCTCATTACCTGGAAGCAAATCTTCGTCTCCTCGTCGAGACCATCTAACGGGTCTGGCTTGTTGATTTCAGTGTCGTCAGCACCGCAGCTGGAGTGGTCCGAGTCGTGCTCCTTCTCCTGCTCTTTTTGGTCTCGCTCAGGGTCTTGAGCCATAGAATGAATCTCCCTCTTGGAGGAGTAGAGCATGATGGAGAGGATCTCCAGGTCTCTCAGCAACCACAGCTTGCTGAAGCCAGTCCCCTTGCTGCACTTCCTCACCAGCAGCTGCATCAGCCCCGACTGCTGGATGGCCTCCTGAGCTGGCTCCACGCCGTGTTTCTACACAAAACAACAAAACGCAATAAGACAGAAACACAGCCAGCCTTTGCACCAAGTACTCGTGAAGCAGTTAGTTACCTTGAGAGTGTTGTAGAGGCCTTTAAGAGCCAAAGACAGAACCCAAGAAGCCTCCACAGCATCAGCAGAACCATTATCTTGGCTTGTTTGTAGGAGGTGGCTAATAATGGAGGTGAAATTGTTCAAGTAGTGGCTGAGGAGCGTTTTTTGAACTCCCTGACTCTCTGTCGGAGCTCGGAGACTGGCTGTGGTGGAATCCTGGGACTGGATGAGCTGGTAGTCCTTCACTGTGATAAATGGAAAACATCACGTTTACATTAGGGTGCAAAAGTATTCATCCCCACTCTTTATTACTATTTTGTTGGTTAAAAAATATAAAACTGGAAAATGCTGCATGCATGTCTTCACCCCACCTTCAAGAAGCCACAAACTGTAATTAACTAGAAAAAAAAATGCTTTTCCTGCGAAAATGAAATGTGACTGCTTATTGCTGAAGAATTGAATAAAAAAAGATGAAATGTAGCCAAAATGAAGAACTAGCCTAAAGGAGCAGAAGAAAGCAGAAAGAACACATATTTGCTGAATTAATTGAGATTAGCACAAAATTAGGAATTTAGCGTACAAAGCAAAAATTAGCAAAAAATAGTTAAAAAGTAGCTGAAAAGGCAGAAAAAAGCTTAAATTACCAGAATAAAGTGGAAAGAGCTGAAATGAGTTAAAAAAGGTGGAGTTTGCTGAAAAAGCAAAAATTAGCATTAAAGAGCTGAAATAGCTGAAACTAGCAGAAAAAAGCTGAAATTAGCATAAAGAAGTTAATTAGCTTGAAAAGAGCAGAAATTACCATAAAAAACTTGAATTTATCTGAAAACAGATACGATTAGCTAAAAATGAAACTGAAAATGTAGAACAAGCTTAAATTAGCATACTAAAGCAGAACGAACACGTTTGGCCAATTAGCCTGAAAAAAGCTGAAATGAGCACAAAAAAGGAAATCGGCTGGGAAAAGAAGCTGAAATGAGCAAAAACCACTGAAAAGTAGCTAAAAAAGCAGAAAGAAGCTGAAATTTAAAAGAAGGAAGTGGAGAGAGCACATTTTTGATGAACTAGGGTGGAAAAAAGTTTAAATAGGTACAAAAAATGTGGAATTAGCTGAAAAAACTAAAACGAGTATTTAAAAACAGATAAAAAGCTGAAATCGTATAAAAAGCGGAAACTTGCATAAATCAGCTGAAAGGAGCATAACAAGCTGAACTTATCCTAAAAAAAGTTAGAAGAAGCACAAAAATGTTGTAGTTAGCTGAAAGAAGCTGAAAGGAGAACAAAACAGCTGAAACAACAGCTGAAGGAGCAGTAAAAGGTTGTAAACAGATCTAAAGATTTGAAGGACGTAAAATGAGCTCAACTCATTTTCTATAAAGAAAAAAATGGCAGAAAAGGCTAAAAATGTCAAAAAGCTAAAATTGCACCAATACTAGGAACTTCTGTGTAAATCTTTTTATCTGTTGCTGCTGTTGCACTTGAATTCTCCATGCGTGGGACAATAAAGGCTGTTTCTATTCTTCTATTCTATTCTAATACAAAAAGTCATAGCAGGATTGTCCTGAAAGAGCTGAACGTTGTGATTTATGATTTGTCGAAATAGCTGAAAACTGCGGGATGAGAATCACAGCGAAAAACATACAGAAGAAAAAAGATGGACAACAGTGTGAACGCTTCATGAACGTTCACACCATTAACTGGTTAAGTTCTCTGACCTGTTTTTCTCTTGCGCGTTTTGACGTCCACCACCGCAGCATGATTCTTTTCTGTAAAGTGTTTGAGCAAGATCATGCTGTGCTGTTCATTAGCGTTGTCGATAAACACCGTCTGAGTTCCCACGCACAGCACCTGAAAGACACACAGAGGGGTCACAGCAAGAGTCACAGAGCCCGTTCAGGCCCGTTCAGGCCCGCGGCGGAGCGACGCTTCGCTGCGTACCTCAGGGAAGCCCACCAGCACCAGCAGAGTGAACAGGTTGGTGCGTTTCAGTGTCCGTGGAAGCTGCTGAATGCAGTGGTCAGTGAAGGCAGCGATGACCGCGCTCCACTCAGGACAAGCGTTCAAACTGTGCAAAATGTCTGCCACCGTGCACGCCCAGTCCAGGCCAATACGACTGCAACACAAGGCCGAAAAGAAAACTGTAGAGCACAGGTTGCACGTCTTACAGTATCCTTCACCACACACAGAATATACTAAAAACAAGAACTCTCCTGAGAACAATGACCCTGACACATGCTGCATCGGGCCACAACATGGACATGCAGAAAGAACACATATTTGCTGAATTAAGTTTAAATAAGCAGAGATTAGCACAAAATTAGGAATTTAGCTTAAAAAACAAAAATTAGCAAAAAATATTTAAAAAGTAGCTGAAAAGGCAGAAAAAAAGCTTAAATTACCAGAATAAAGTGGAAAGAGCTGAAATGAGTTAAAAAAGGTGGAATTTGCTGAAAAGGCAAAAATTAGCATAAAACAGCTGAAATAGCTGAAACTAGCAGGAAAAAAAGCTGAAACGAGCATAACAAGCTGAAATTAGCATAAAGAACTTAATTAGCCTGAAAAGAGCAGAAATTACCATGAAAAACTTGAATTTATCTGAAAACAGATACAATTAGCTAAAAATGAAACTGAAAATGTAGAACAAGCTTAAATTAGCATACTAAAGCAGAACGAACACGTTTGCCCAATTAGCCTGAAAGTATCCCAGGCCAATGGGACTTTCAATTAAACACATAATTCTTTGTAAATACGTACACTCTAATACAAAACTGAAGGCAGTGCAAAAAAATGTACTCGTTAGTCAGAATTATTCTCCTTCTGCAAACTGAGGCGGTCACAAAAGCTATCCACAACAGGTTAGATATTTTTCGCTCATAGCTCTTAGAACACCACAACAAAATTAATTTAAATATCTGATGAGGGAAGAGTATGTAAAGGTCATGGATGCTTTCACTTACTGATGTTACATTAATATAGAAGCAAGTCTGACTCTGACGACTTCAAGAGCTTTGAGCTGTGAAGCAGAGGTTGTGTTGACCTCGCCTCCGTCTGACAACCATTATAAAAAGACACTTCTTTATACGGTCTGTGGGCAGAGCCTGTGGTCAGGGCTTGGTAGAACATCTTGTACACTAGTTTCAACGCTGCTCCCCTTGCAAGGATTAAACCTGGGGTCTAAAGATCTTCTAGTTTCCTTGTGCGGCTCATTTGTATGAGTTGATGATGGGATAATTAAATTATCCAACAATATCACGAAGCTTCTTTTTATGAATCAGCATCAGTTTGATGATAAACTAACAGATTTTAGAAGGCTTCATTAAAGAACGCACTTCAAAACATTTGATCTGTGCTAAAGACAACCTGGCAGCGTGTCAAAAGGATTGTGATACATGTAAAGAGTTGTTCGTGTTCATTTAAAACTTATAGGTATTATCACACAACGTAGTGAGTGCCAGCTTCAATACACTGGAATATAAGAGCTGATAAGAAAAGACAAACAGAAGAGTTTTAACGTCAGTCATTTCATTTTGGAGTAACAGGAAAACTTTGTGAAGCTCATGCACCAGAGGATGTGAGCTGCGTTTTGATTGGCTGCACTTTTTTTTTTTTAAAGTCATTAATGAAATCTTTAAACTCTCTTTAAAACTGTGAGGAGTGGAGCAGGTTAGAGAGGTGAACCTGTGATCGGAAGGTTGCCGGTTCAAATCCCCCTTCTGACCTTACCAAAATGTGGGTGGAAAAGGTGAAGCACCCACACCTGCCTCCACCCTCATTTGCCCCACACTGGGCCCTTGAGCAAGGCCCTTGACCCCCACCATCTGCTCCCTCGGGCGCCCAAGATGGGAGTCCTCTGCTCCACACAGAGGGCTGTGGTAGCGCCGCTTCTTTTGTCACGTGAACAAGACGGTCTTTTGTTCACACCGCTGTTACTTATTTAATTACCTAACATTTCATTTAAAGTATATTAACGAGGAACTAAATCCAGTTTGTCTTTAAAGGACAAGCAGACTGCTGCTTTTGTTGCGCAATTCATAAAAAAAAAAAGCATAACCAAACACAACAACGTTGAATTTTAGACAAACTGATCCGTCCTTATCCGAGAACAATATGTGTGAAAATGCAGAATGGTTACAGCAGGATTCACGTTTTCACTTGCGTCGTCATGAACACAAAATAAAGAGAAATTAAATGCGTCTGCTCATGTACCTGTCTAAACAAACCGCTCCAAGGCTGAAAAGCAGCTGCGTGGTCTTCCAGCCCTGTGCGTCTGAACATGCCGCATCTCCTTGAGTCAGCAGCTCGTATTTGTCGGCCAGAGCCTCGGTGACGGCAGCGTCGGCTTTTGTCGGCGTGATCCGGAGCAGCAGCTGACCCAGGAGCCCCAGGATGAGGTAGAAGGTCTCGTTCAGAGAGCCAGCGTTGGAAAAGACTGCTCTGAAAAGTTGTGGCAGGATGGAGCTCAGACTGGGCAGAGACAGCGTGCTTCCCTGAGGACACAAGAGAGGAAATATAAACCTCATCTGAGGAGAAAAGGACACTGTCAGGGATGATGCATCAATATAAAGAGTGGGAAAACATAAATACATGTTGGCTGCAAAATGAACATGCTCTGCAGAATCATTCATCTTCATATAAAGAGAGGATGCAGTGCTCTAAATAAATCAGTTTTAATGTAAAATTATGCATTAAATATATCCTTCTCCAACATGAGCTGCTTTTGGCTTCACATACTGGTTTGGCTGGTGGGAGCATTGCAGCCAGCAGTCCCAGAATCCTCTCCCTGGAGCACTCTGAGAACACGTGCTCCTGCCGGGGAACCTGCGGCAGCCTCTCATCCATCTCCTTGGCAACATCAGCTGCTGGAGAGCTCAGTGCTCCTGGTCCACAATCAGAAGCTGAGAAGAATTCAAAGAGAAACGTTGATGATGCTCAAAAACACTAAATCTTATGTGAGCATGATGGAGACTCACTCCGGACCACAGGAGACAGGGGGTCTTCACTGGACACAGAGGGGGTCTGGCTGAGACTAGCAGAGTCCAATGTGTCCTGGGTAACGAGCTTCGTTTTCTCCTCCACTCCCGAGGATGGTGGAAGTGACAACTCTGGAGGAGAGTTCACATCGTTGGACTTTGTCTCCTTTCCTGCTGGATTTCCCTGTGGGTGAGAAGTGAACATGTAACACACTGTCAACCATGATCCGACTTAAATTAAGCTTATATGATGAACATGTTTAGGCATCTTTAACGATATGTATAAATCAGCCAACTCTTAATCATGACTTTATCTGATGACATCAGTAGTGTTGCGGACCTTGTCCCTGGGAGACGATGGGGAGCAGATGGCTGCAGTGCTGCCGGGGAGTGAGGAGGTGTCCGTAGTCATGCTCAGCTCCTGAGAGGACTCAGGAGACACCGGACACAGCTCGCTCTCAGACGCCGACTCATTGGAGGACAGCAGAGCGAGCAGGGTTGAAGAACGAAGACCTGTGTGTGGGACACCAAAAACAGAAGTTCTACTTACTCTTTGTATTTAAAACATGCAAAAACCAAACTGAGGTGTTGTACTTAACACAGCAGACAGCACCTAAGCAGCCTAGTGTTCAAAGACATAGCCATAACAACATGTTTGATGATCACTTATTGACAGTTGGGAGAAAACGTCTGTAGTCCATCGTCATCTTCAGAAAACAGCGCGATCTATAAAAAACTGGCCTACGTCTAAAACAGAATGTTCACAGTTAGAGAGTAGGCCTGTCACGATAACACATTTTGCTGGGTGATTAATTGTCTCAGAAATTATTGCGATAAACGATAATATTGCTTGAAATTCGACAATAATTAGTAATTATTGTCAAATTTAAAAAGAAATGTTAGTTAATTTGTTTTGAGTGTAGTACCTTTTTTGACCACTGGATAAAAGTATAAGACAGTTTGAATTGAAGGATGGATAGTGAGGGAGTGAGCAGCGTGTCTCTAAGAAAAATGGGAGGCAGGCCTGTATTTTGGTTCTCAAAATGGCGGATGCTCAGTGTGGTTTGAGCTCTTTAGCATCTTTCACACCAAGCTTTTAATAAAAAATAAAAAATCAGTAAACAAGTTTTCAGCTTCTTTTTGCAGAGAAAAACAACTTTTTACACAAAGGCACGAGTTTCAACCGTGAATTCTGGAGCGTCGACAAGACGGAGGTTTCCCCCCCAGGTCGGCCTGTTAGCTTAGCTCATAGCTTAGCTTCTCAGCTTAGCTGCTTTTAACGTTCCAAAAACATGATTTTGGACGGTAAAAATGGATTTTAAAGAGAAAGGGATGAGTCAGTGAAGAGCACCGGAGTTGAGCCTTTTGTCATCCAGTGTCTTCAGTAGAAAGAGAGACACGAAGAAACGATAAAGTCGATAAATAAAACGAGGTCTATCAATTTCATTTATCATGCGATTAATTGAGTTATTGTTGATCGCGACAGGCCCATTAGAGAGCGATACTAAAGATATTAGAAAAAAGGAAATGTTGCTAAACTGTGTCCCATTTTTTGTTAATTATTCAGATAACCACTAAATGTCATTAATACATTTTGGTAATTGCAGGTTGTACTTTTTTAATTCACTTTATTTTCTTTCCTTCCAGTTTGCAGCTAAAATTGTCTTTTTAAACTTGCTCCAAATCACGATGATCAGTTTTAATGTCTAAAGAAGCATAAAATGCAAAGTCTGAGTCGTCTTCTTATCCACGATTTTCAGTTCCGGTATTAATGACTTTTCTTCGTGCACTTTTCATATGGCTGACAGAGAGATGCATCAAACAGAGAAAGGAACAAGTTTTATCTACTCCGCCAACAACGCTAAAGATAAAGTGGACAAAATGTCTCATTTACTGTTGCTAATCTATTTAAGAACGCCACCACTTCTTTTGGCTTATTTTCCTTATATTTGTTGTTTTGTGCCCTTCTCTCCACAGGATCTGGCAACACTGGTCAGTAGTTGTTAAAGGGAACACATTTAAGAAATGAAGTCTAGGCAAGAACAGGCAATTGTTGGGAAATGTCAGGGGAATTTAGGTCAAGGTTTATGGATGTTTATTACTGCTAATGTTAAATTCAGAGTTCAGAGTTTGTTTTCCTGTCAGAGGAGCCTGCAGGAACCTGACGCCTCCGAGTCCAAGAGACTGAGGTCATCGTGCTGATAAGCTTGTATAAAAACACTTCCTGTACACGGTCCGTTGCAGATCCTCATGACGGGGCTTTGAGCATGTAAATTTGAACATCTGTATAAGCCTGTTTCGTGACCGTCTGCTCTTGCAAGTAAACTGGGTTAAAGGTCTTCTGTCTTCGTGCGTGGCTCTTTTTAAGTAAGTAGATATTAAAAGGATATTTTTATCCAACAGTGTGTATAACTACTGTGTCCTGAATGAGAGGAACGAGATACAGCACATGAAATATGGGATATCGCACCTCTGTGTCCTGGCTTCATGTGCTGTACGTAGTGAATCACCTGAATGGGAACAAGGGAACATTCACCTGCACGGACTTTTCCTAGCTTTAAATTACTGATGAAGAAATACTTTTTTTTTGTATATGTTTAGGAAGAAAGGCACTTTATTTATAAATACTACTTCATATATGAGGGTGGCACGGTGAAGCAGTGGTTAAATCTGCCGCCTCACACGTGTTCTCTAAGAAAACAGGTTGCCAGTCCCTGTGATGGACTTGCAACCTGTCCGAGGTCCCACCCGTGACAACTGGAAACAGGCACCCGCTCCCTGCCCGTGAAGCGTAAAGTAAATGGATGGACAGATATTTGAGATGGTCCCTTTCTCCTGCGTGCCCACTAGATGTCATTAAAAGCTACAACCTAACTTTGCTTATTTTTTTTTCAAATGGCATTTCGGTTTAGACTTACCTTTGCCTGTCTGCCCTTTGAGCAAGCAGTCAGTAATGAGTTGGGAACAATGTGTCTGCAGAGCTGAGGCCTGCTCTAAAGACTTGCTGTCCAAGCACTCTCCCTCCATCTGCCTCTCACTGATCAGCTCTGAAGTGTACAAGGCCAGCGCAGCGAACAGCAGCCAGGAGTAGTTGTGGATGTAGGGCTGGATCAGGCGGTGACGATCACTGATTCGAATGGTTACCATTGGATACACGGTAATACGATGAGCAGGCAAGTGACTAAAGACGACAAAACAAAAGATTAGTGGACTACCAGTAAACCACTGACTGGCAAGTGTGTTTTTCTCACATGTACCTGTCAGGATACTTCTTTGCATTGTAGCAACCGTAGCACAAATCAAAGTCCTCGCACACATTACAGTTGATCCTGCTGCCTACAATGAGCCCCTGGCAGTGGTCACAACTATATTCCATGTTCACCATTTCATGATCATCCTCGTGGCCTTCAGGCTTGGCTCCACCTGGTTACAACACACATTACCACTTTTTACAACCTCTTTCTAAATGCAGGTCTGACTGGGCCTCCTGTGCTTGGACTCACTGAGGAAGCAGGTCTTGCAGAGGTCCATATCCATGCACTGCAGACACCTGTAGCGGTGCCAAGGTGCCATCCTCTCACAGCCATCACAGGAGATCACCACGTTAAGCAAGTCACAGTAGCGAGCAATGAACATGTGCATCTGTGAAAACGCAGTTGTCATTGTTTGAAGAATATTGCACTTTTATTTGTTTTCTGCCTCTGAGCACAGCTTAGCACACATTTGGTCTTAATCGTCTACTTGCATATATTTTCTTGCACACATGCTAAAAACAAACGTATAAATAATAAAAAGGTAGTTTTCAAAAACCCTTTTCTTATACAATATGTTGAAAAGCAAATTTAAAAACCTCTCCTTTTTGTCTGGAGTAACTGTAATTTTCTGGCTACACAGGAAACGAACAGCAGAGCACATTTAGACGTGTCTGGTTAAATAATAAACGCCAGACACAAGAAAGGTTTACTCCGTGCACTTCAACATCTTTTATGGATCATAAAATACCTTTCTCCTGTCCTCCATCGTCTCCTCTTCATCGATTTTGTCATACCACTTCTCAAACATCCCATCCATGCACTCATCCATCCACTCCTGGTTTTTTTTGTAGTCGGCAACTTCGTCCGCCTCTGTCCATTGGCTGAGGTGGAATTTAAACGAGAAAAAAGATCAGTCATCTTGTCCTGCATCTCACAACTAAACTGACTCATGATGCACCAGCAGAAAAGCTTACAATGAATCTGATTTCATGTGCAGGACCTTATTGTCAGAGATCGGACCCGACGTTACCTGATGGCGATGTCGTGTACGCTGATGTTCTCCTGAGACATGCTGAGCAGGAGGTCTGGGAGCTTAATGTTCTGGAAAAGAGGCAGATCCTGCACTTCCCAGTTCATGGCCAGGAGGTGCAACAAGCAGGTCTGCACACAGGACAGGGCTGGCAGCAGAGCTCTGTGGATCACAGCCCAGGATCAGGAAACTGAACACTTTTGTTCTAATCATCTAATCACTGCTGCATTCACTTTTCAACCAGCGGAGATCTGAGTCAACATGATGAGTTCAAGGAGCTTACTTTTCATTCAGGACACTGAAACCCTGCACAGCCTTCATCAGCATGAGCACCAGCTGATGGTAGGAATGCCTCACCTCCTCTCCAAGTTTATGACCGCTGTCTGACAGCTGAGAGAAATAACTGAAAAATAAAATGAATTACTGAGCAGCTACATGCAAGCACAAACCTCCCGAGAGCTTCTAGGTTACGTTTTTATTCTAAATGTACAAGACGTTCAGATTTTCTCAAAAGACCAATAGACGTACTGGCCGGACAAATTTGGGTCAGGTTAGACCAGACAAACTTTTCAGCCTCTGAACAGGCAAAACAAAAACAACAGCAAACGCTTAAATACTTTATGAACACCACTATAACTGCTTTATAAACAAGCAGCTTCACCTTGTATTTTATATAATACAATATATGAAGTATATGAGACGGACTTGATGCATTTATTGGCTACAGAATTTATTAGCTATAGTCATTCACGGACATAAGTTTGGGAGCTATCAGCTTAGCGACTGGTTTAGACCACGCTCAGGGAATTATCGTATAGACTTCCTGCTCCATGGTGAAGGATTAGTGATGACAAACACAGAAATATACACGTTAAACAATTTTATATATTTCAGGAAGTCTAAACAATCGTGTGAATTTGGTTTCCACTCGTTGCTCTTTGTGTAACATATTACTTCCTGTTTGGTAACTAAGCTTCGGCAAGAACAAACTAATGTTTAAGTATTTATACATAAGCACTTTGTTCATTAAACCTAGCAAGTGCGATCAGAATTTAATCGTGTAAGACTTAGAAGGTTACATGCAGTTTGACAAGCGGCTGTCGTGACGACATTCTTACAATTTTCGGGGAAATGCTGCTGATCCATTTAGCCACGCCCTCGTAATTTATGTACATAAATACATTTAGAGTTGGACTCACATTATTCGTGTAAAATTTAAGGTGAGTTAGTCTAAACGTGACGGTCATTAAGATTCCAGTGGTAACAGTCTAGAAGCGACACCCAAAACAAGACGCGACGTCATTGGCAGCACGCCGTGTTGTGGAAGTAAATACTGGCACACACACACAGACGTCAGAGTGCACGTATCAATGCTGAAATTGTGCAAATCAAGTTAAAATTATTATCTGCCATGATTATTTCGTCCAATGTTGACGTTTGATCTTGTCACTTCCTGTTTAATCCAGCACAGAACTGGACTTTGGAAATGGGAGCAAGAGAAACAAATTCAGGCATTGATCCCGTCACACCAGCATGGCTATGGTTCTAGTGTGGTTTCAAATTAGGCATCGTTAATGCAAATATTTGGATCGATCCGCATACTCTTACTTCGTTGACTTAAGAATCCAATGAAATGCAACAAACGGGTTGTTTTGAAAAACACCAGATGCTGGGTTCTGATTTGAGCCACCTTTGCCTGCAGTGTGAACGCAGCCCAAGCTTGAAGTCAACACGTCTACAAGGAGCTTGTTCAAATACACCAGGTATGAAACGGTAACATGCCGTCTTTGATCCAAGCTGGTGGACTTTCTGCTGGGTTTAGGCAATGCCATCAATAAACTTGTTTCAAACATCTTAAGCTACAGAAGGTGCGCAACAGTCTTTATATAGTGAAACCGTTTTCAACTCTTGAGGCAAAATATATGTTTTCCCCGTGTGTGTGTCACTCAACAATCTGTTCTGTGTATTAGGACCAAAAAGACTCATTTATGAGCTACAACCACGTCCCTCACATGTACCTGGTGAAGTCTTTCTGACATGTCAGCAGCTCCTGCAGGAACAGGATGCAGGCAGGCTGAAAGAGGTGCGGCTGTCCCAGAGAACGTAGACACTGCTGAATCATCTCCAGCACCTTGCACACGCTCAGAGCCTGGGCTTTGCTCAGGGCCAGGGTGTGCAGAATGCTACACAACGAAGAAACAGGAGAGTGGATCCTTTGTGTTGTGAATTACATGGATACAAAGAAATGGTCAGTGTAATCTGACTCCAACATTCCAGACTATCAATCTGTTACCTGGCTGTTGAGAGCGCCTGATCCTTCATGAAGTTTAGGATGTGTTTGAGCATTGGATAGCGATCTTTGACAGAGGGGGTCATGCCGGGCTCTTCGATCGAGCGGCAGGACAGAAGGCGAAGGCGGGACCGACTGAACGGAGCCTTACGGGCAAAAGTCGAGGGTGAGGCTGGCTGAGATGAGAGACTCTCTTGCCTGCTGTACTCGGATGAAGAGTTTGTAACTTGAGTGCTGGACGGCTGACTCTGTCCTGGTCTGGCATCCCTGGACTCATCAGGGCCTCCAGGCTGAGGAGGCCCTGATGAGCTTGGGGACGAGCTGGCCTGGAAGTCTCCCTCTGAGATTGAACTGGAGCGCAGGAGGGGAGCAAAGCTGCTCTCTGATGCTTTGGAAGAGTCACTGCCTTGACACGATTTTCCACAGGGAGCAAATCGAAACAGCAACAGGCTCTTTTCAATGCACATCTCAGCTGAAAAAAATAAAAAATAAACGTGTAAGTAAAATAACACACAAGCTGAGCTTTTGAACTACAAGGTCTGTAGTCCTCACCTAGTGTGTCCATGGTAACCTCTTCTGGACTCCCTTCGTCATCATTGTGGATGTTCATTTGGCCAACAAGGTATCTCTGCTTCATCTCCAGCTGATTCAAAGAAAGACCCCAGCAAAGAATCAGAGATGCAGTCAGGAGCAGACAACTGATGGAAGCAGAGGTCATGTCAGGAACACTCACCATCCATGTTCGAATGCTGTCTGCCACAGAATAAACCTGCACAAACTCCTCACTTAGACAAGAGCTGCAGCCTTGATCAACTACTCACACAGAAACACGCAAACAGAGGACAGGCTGGTCAGAGACAACCCTTTAGAACCATCAGGACAAATATTTCTGCTCTGGGATGACTGATGAGGGTTACCATAGGTTTTCAGGGCCTGGTTGAGGGATGGTGTGTGGTACACCATCGCAGCCCAAATGGCATTCACAGCTTGGTCCGTCTTCGGCCCAGATGCTATCTCATTCCTCATCGGCTGTTTCCTGCAGGACTGCACGAGGGTCCTCATCAGTTCTGTTTTACTGTCTGTGAGTTTTTGAGAAGGGTTCCAGCGTGCAAAATCCTCCAGGAAGACCAACACGTCATCAAGAATCCACGTATTCGTCTAATAAACAAGCACATTTAAATAAATAAATCTAAACAAAGTGATCAAAATCTATGAATGCTTTTTTTTTTTTACATTCATATTAGAAAGACTTTTCAAAATACCTGGTTTTGGACAGTCGTCTGATTTGCCTCCCGTTTTTCATGCAGCCCGTGTCGAAGGATGGGTTTCCACAGAGGGGAACCCTGAACATGAGACACTTTACCGGGTGGAAGCTCCTTTACTGTGCGGATCTCTGAAGAGGACAGCAAACCGCAAATATCATTATTTCAGTTTGTATCTAAAGGGTAGTCACTGTAAAGTGTTAAGTCAAACATAAAAAGAAGTTATGGAACCATGTCAAATGGTGCAATTTGAAAAAGACTATTCCAGTGGTTTCACAGATACACAGTTGTTTTTCTTTCGGCTGCTCTCCTCTGGAAGGGTTGCCACAGTGAGCTAATTTGTATAACAATTGTTTTACACCTCATGCCCTTCCTGATGCAACCTTACCTGCAGCCTCAGGATCACATGACTGCAGCACTGACTGAGGTACAGCAGCCCCTTTCTCAGTAAGAATGGAATGTGTATCTGAAATGTGGGTCCACACACAATGTAGACAAGGCACTCTGCTAAATTAGCCAAAAAACACAACAAAAACCCAGATGCTTTGATGTACAAGCTGTATAAAAAGAAAAAAATACAGCAGTCCTTCGATACTTTGCAGTTCGTTTATCGTGGACTCGCTCTATCGTGGTTTTTCAAAATAAGATTGGACATGACAAAAGCTGATTGATGAATGAGTCGCACTGTCGGCATTAAAATATAACTTCATCAGATAATAACTTAATGAAATATCTAGATATATGTATCCCGTTTTGATATTTAGAATATTGTGTTAAAAACATGATCTGATTCCGTTTCCGGTAGAAAATATAGTTTCAGCTACATGCCTACAACTCCCAACATTCATGCACCCACCCATTATAGAACACAAGATGGCGAGATATTATTGGTTGAGAGCTGGGTCACATGATAAGAGTAGGACTTCCCATTCGTTGATGGTGATAATACTCCAGGAGGTGTGGCCGGGCTCTGAAGAAGATGGGCTGTCTGTTTACGTTCGGCGCCATTTGTTCGTGACCGCATGGTGGAGATACAATGGCCCAGGGCTGGTGATCTTGTACTTTACATGTAAAATAAACCTTGTGAAATGGAAGACAATTGCTCCTCCTCTCCCTGCTTCAGATCAGAACACATTCTTTCAGCATGAAATTTTTATTTAAAATAAGTTATTTAAAATTATTTAGCACCTGCTGCACATGTGTGCAGCCCAAACTGCAGGATAAACTTCCTGCTGCCGCTGATCAGCTGTTCTCCGTGCAGAGCGGAGAAATGGGTGTGGCCAAGAGCGCTTGCAGGTGGCTGAAGGTAGATGAGGCAGGGAGCTGAAATCATGACATTCTGTGCTCTTCTGTGAGAGTTTAGAAACATTGTTTAGAATACTGCAAGAGTGTGAGAAGGGTTTAAAACACCTTTATATATATATATATATACTAAAATAAACTACTACTTAATACTTGTACTACTATTCCTACTTTGCAATTTTTCACTTATCGCAGGGCTTCAGGGTACGGATCCCATGATAAACGAGGGACTAGTGTATCTCAGAATTGTGTTTGCTATTTGCAGATGATGTGGTCCTGTTGGCATCATGGTGCTGTGCTCTCCACCTCTCTGGACTCCCCCTTAGAGATAGGAGGAGAAGTTCCGTTATCATGGAGAGACAGAGTAGAACCGCTGCTCCCCCACATCCAGAGGAGCCAGTTGAGGTGGTTCAGGCATCTGGTAAGGATGCTTCCTGGACACCTCCCTAGGGATGTGCTCTGGGCTTGTACAACTGGGAGGAGATCCTGGGGAAGACCCTGGATACACTGGAGTCTACTCTCAGCTGACTTGGGAATGACTTGGAATCCTACTGGAAAAACATGTCTGGGCCTCCCTGCTCAAACTGGTGGCTCCGTGAGCTGACTCCGGAACATTTGGAACATAATAAACGGACGGATGAATTTTGCCGCCTTCCCCTTTATTCATCACACATCTCAGTGTTTAATTTTATTTAGTTAAATAATCAATATAGTCACCAGCATATTGACTGCCACGCTGCATAAAGACAGATTACAATATGTTGCTTTATGAATATTTTGTGCGTATTTCAGAGTTGCCTCCTCGTGAATGCAGCCAGTCTCACCGTAAGGGGATTTCAGTGCCAGGGTTCTGGATGCAAGGCGACCCATAAGGCGAGCCATGAGCAGCTGCAGGTCGGAAATCCACGAAATGGTGAAATCCGGCAGTCCCAGTGCCGTTACAGTGAACTTATAGCCCCACTCGTTATTGCTGCTATCAGAGTGGAAAAGGAACTGCAGCTGAGGGCCGGCGTCAAATGTCACTTTCTGCAGGGACAGAAGAGAGACGAGCATGTAACGGGTAAAAAGGACTACCAGTAAACATAAAGTGACTGGCTTTGTTCAGCTTACCTTGGGCCATTTTTCTGTTCCAACTTTCATATCATAGCGCACCTTCCCACTTCGAGAATCAGTGAATTCTAGATAGTCATATCTGTGAAGATCAAGTGGAATGTTGAGTAAAACCCTCAAAATTAACAATAAAAAAAATCGAAAGTGTTGCGTTGCACCTCTTCTCTGTCTCGCAGCGTTCATCAAACTCCACCTCAAACAAGGTCGCACCAGGACAGGCAAAGACGGTGGTCTCGTGTTGGCTGTTCTCGTAGTTGTGAGGAGACTCCATGTTCCAGGTTCTTAGCACCACCGTCTTCTGAGGCTGGTGCCAGTTCTCCTGATCCACCTTACAAACACATATCGTCATTGAGACACGTGAGAATACACGGTGTCAAAATATGTTTAAACAAAATAAAGTCAAAGTGCAGAAACTGCGCACAAAAAAATTAATACATTCTCTGATTCGCACCTTTAGCAGCAACATTTGTGCGGTCTTTTTTCGGCCTGAATAACAGGCTTTTGCTTTATTGCAGTTTTTTTAGGACCACTGTCCTTTACAATGCTTCTTTAGTTAACAGAGGTTTGCAGACTTTGTTTGTGTCTGTAGGTTTAGCAAAATATTTAACGAACCACTCGTTAAGTTTTCTAGTCAATCCTAAATGACAACCATCACAGCTTAGATTTAGCAAACAAAAAAAGGCTATACGTTAGACAAACTTAAAGACACTGAGCTAAAGTTAGCTGTAGTTGTAGCACAGAGTCATGGCCAACCCATACTATGTGCACTAATACATGTGGTAAAATCTCACAATATTGCATGATTATCTTTACAAGGTTGGTCAAAAAAAAAAAACTGTCAAAACTCCAACCCCTCTCATCACAAGATGATCTGAGTTTGAAACTCGGGCATGAAAGGAGGCGGCAGTACTGCGGTAATGTGAAGAAATAGTAGATCTTTACGTAATTTCTGTTAAAAAGTTCCTACAGAAGGATGAGAGGCTGTAAATTCTACAGTACAGTAGTCCCTCGTTTATCGTGGGGGATCCGTACCCTGAAGCCTCGCGATAAGTGAAAAAACACGAAGTAGGAATAGTAGTATAAGTAGTAAGTACTAGTTTATTTTATTATTTAAATATATATATGTTAAGGAGTTTTAAACCCTTCCCACACTCTTGTAATATTCTAAAGTGTTTCTAAACGCTCTAAAAGAGCACAGAATGTCATGATTTCAGCTCTCTACCTTCAGCTGCACTCTTGGCCACGCCCACTTCTCCGCTCTGCAGAGATCAGCTGATCAGCTGCAGGAGGAAGCTTCTCCCACAGCTGTGGGCTGCACAATCATTTAAAATTATTTATTTTAAATAAAACTGCCATGCCGATCGTGCGGCTCATCCATCAATCAGCCAACTGTGTGTCATGTCCAATCTTATTTTGAAAAACCATGATAGAGCGAGTCCGCGAAAGTCGAAGTGGGAAGTAGAAAGGGACTACAGTACTGAGGTTCTTGTGTACGAGGTGAACTGACCTTAGAGAAAATGTCTCCAGTGTCATTTGATAGTCTTTTAATGAGCTCAACCAAAGAGGAGAAGCTCTTCAGCAGCACACTGTGGGGGATATCCAAAGAACACAGCTCCAAAAGAAAAATCATCTGCCAGGAAAGAAAAGAAGTTTGTTCCAGAGTTTTAGTAAAGCATGCTTGTTATTCGTGCATGAGAGCTTTACAGTTTTCATACCACAAATCTGCATTACCAGTTGTCTGAAGACGGTGACCAGGATAGAGGTGCTCAGTTTGTCAGTAATCTCACTACTGCTGTACCTCTCCAGCAGGGAACAGAGTACAGTGTTGATGTTTCCCAAGAACTGATCCACATCTAATAAAAACAAATTAGCCAACCATTAATCCAGCTGCTTTATCCAACCCTGGTTGATTTATCTGATGAACAAAGACATGAGGTTTCAAAACCAAACCATCGACATGTCTCACATTTAAGGAGTATGTCTCTGGCCAGCTCCATTGCAGCAGGTGTTGAAGCCCCGCCCTTCAGCTGCAGGTAGCACCAGGACAGCAGACTGCCCTGCAGAGCCCAGAACAAGGACAGCAGCACGTTCCTGCTGGCACCACCGCTTTCATCCATCATCATAACCTCACACTAAACGATGGGAGACAGTTCAAAGACATGACAAAGGTGGAAATTGTTTTAGTTCACATCCAAACAGAAGAACTTCTTACAAACAGGACAAAGAAATTGAATCCACCTCTCTGGCTGCCACCAGCAGCAGCGTCTCCATGACGGACAGTATTGGGCTGATGTCAAAGTTGGACGGAGCTCCTTTGGGAGGGAGCAGGAGGAGGCCACTCGGATCCTGGTCGCTGTTCAGAGACAACACAGCTGGCTGTTGGAACTTCTGAGTGTGTAAAAGCACTTAACGTGTTTTTATATCTACAGAATGCTTACCTGAAGTAATTACAAAGAGATTCAAACGTCACCTTCACTGACTCTGGCTGATCCTCTTCTGTGATGTTTTTCTGAAAAATGGAACAGCGTTATGACCTCTGAGCTTGAATTAAGAACATCTCTGTGTTAAACAGCATCAAGGTAAAGAATGGAGGAAGATGCTAATGAACTGGACTCTTCTACTAAAAATGCTCATTAATCAAGTATATGTTCAGAGCACAGCTTTAAACCACGAGAGAACAGATGCTGTATTATTTGTAAGTGTTGTGGACCTACCATCATGTTAAACAGTTTGTCCCGTCTGTTAAGTTTATCAGGGAAGAACACAGCTGCTCCGCTGAGAATGGCCTTCACCGCTTCCTTATGCAAAGCTTTTTCCTTCAACGTCTCGCCCTCCGGACCATCCACAACTGAAAAACACAAAATGTAATAAGAAAAACATTTAGGATTTAGAAAAGGGAGGAAGACAATGTATTAATGTACGGTTTAACGCTTTTACTTTGACACAGGTGGGTGTAGAGTTCTGACACAGCTTTCACAGAAGGACAGGGATGCTCGTCGCTGCTGGATGCTGAAGAACCTGCTGCTGCAGAGGCCCCTTCATCTGGGCCCCCACTCTCCTTGGTGCCCTGAGGCTCCAGTGGGTTGGGCAGCATGGGGAAACAATTCTGCATCAGCTGAAGAAGCAGAATTCTGCTCTTCATGGCCTCCTCTCCCTCACTGAAACACAGACATGCTCAGCTGTAGCGTAAACACTAATCATGGCTGCACCGTAGCTGAAACGTTAAGCATGGATAAAAATATCAACTCACATCTCCCCGAGTTTTCTGTAAAAGTTCCAGAAGAGGCTCAGACTGAGACCACTGAAGTCCAGAAGATATTTCTGTTTCTGATGTGAAGCATCCTGCAGAAATAAACACAAACGGTGTCACTCACTGAGTCTCTCCTTAAAACATCTCACTGCTGCGCAAACAAATACAACAATGTCTCCTATTGACCACAAGAGGGCACACTGGCCCATCAAAACAAGTATAAAAAATAAAAAAAGTGCAGGAAAATATCAGAAACTGAAACTGTTTTCATACAAGAGTATCCTGAAACATAAACAGGCACAGTGCGGCGTCAGCTGTATGCAGATCGGACATATTTGTTGTCACAAAAAGGATGTTTGTGGTTCTCAGATGGGATGTGGTTTGATATTAGACTTTCCTGAACTACCATTTTAATTTGATTCAAAAATGCCTAAATGCTTTCGATTCATTTCCAGTCTTTGCATCTAAAACAGGGCTTTGTCTCTTAGCGTAGTCTTGAGAATAGCTCGCAAACAAATACTAAACTCAAGCGGTAAAATTCTGTTTACAGGGACTTTGTTGTTAGAAGTTTGCCATTTAGACATTTTAAAGCGTACAGTAGGAAATGGTAATAGCTCCTTTAATCTTAAATGCTCTAATAGTTGAATACAGTTTAGATTCTCCAGAAAGAGTTTGTTTACCTTGTCTCGTGTCAGCTGCTGTATGAAGAACAAGGTCTTGTTCAGCAGACAAAGACCAGAGATGCCCTCACGATCGAAGCTCTCTTCCTGTCCACTGAGGTCATCCAGGTCTACGAGCCTCTCTGTTCCAGGGCACAGGTACCCACTGAAGCCAAGGGTCTGCACACCAAGACGCTCAGCCGAGTCCTGCCTGGTGCAGAGGAACTTCACCATCAGGAACTGAGAACACAGGAAGTAAAAAGAACGAGAGGCGTTAAGACTGTACAACAATTATTAGACTGTGAACGAACATGTAACAGCTCTGTTGGCTAAAACAGTGCACGCTGTGTCAGGGAATGGGTTCTCTGGATGTGGTACGGTTACCTTGGCAACGCGACACTGCTGCAGCTTGATCTCCACATCGTTCCAATCCTCTTCGAGTTCAAACCAGCCGATTGGGTCGTCCTCAGTCTGTGCTGAAACCCTCACGCTGCAGGTCCAATGACAGGAGAAACAAACTGATCACTGAGACCGATCAAGAGAATATGAAATATCAATAACAGGCCTTTCAGTACGGGTATCACCCACCGTGTTCATGCCAGAGTTTTAGACTAAGATTTGTAGTTATAGCCATTTTGATCTAACCGTGCAAAGCTCATATGACAATATCCCCTGTGATCTTGCATGATCCGTTAGCACCGAGTATGTGTTCTGAACAACTGTCAGATTTTATTTAATATCTGTAAAACTGGCTGAGTTATGGACATTTTTGTGTTTTTAAGTTCAGCTGGCTGAGGCAGCAATCTTGAAGTGAGTTGACTCCAAAAGTTCATCTGCTATAGATGTTTATACAACCGTTACTTTCTGAAAGTTTAATTAAATCCATTAAGTGGTTCATAGAATATTTTGCTAACAGACTTACAGGATTGACACTTGTTAATGACAATATTTTCTAATCAAATCTTGCACAATCTTTTAGCGATTAGCCATGAGTTGGGGAAGACTCAACTACTACCACACCGAAGTCTAGCTCAACACAGTAGTCCCTCGCTACTTCACAGTTCGTTTCTCATGGACTCGCTCTATCGCGGCTTTTCAAAATAAGATAGGACATGACACACAATTGGCTAATTGATGGATGAGCTGCACGATCAGCATGGAGTTTTTATTTAAAATAAATTATTTAAAATTATTTAGCACCTGCTGCATCTTTGTGCAGCCCATACTGCAGGATAAGCTTCCCCCTGCAGCTGATCAACTGTTCACCGTGCAGAGCGGAGAAGTGGGCGTGGCCAAGAGTGCTTGCAGGTGACATAGAGCAGAGGAGGCAGGGAGCTGATTTCATGACATTCTGTGCAGTTTTAGAGTGTTTAGAGTTTAGAAACATTATTTATAATATTGCAAGAATGTGGGAAGGGTTTAAAACGCCTGAATATATACATATATATGTACTGTATATATATACACACACACACACATATACACACACATACACACACACACACACATATATATACACACACACACACACACATATATACACACCCACACACATATATACACACCCACACACATATATACACACCCACACACA